TCTATGTTGCCAACATTTTTCAGTCTGGGGGGGTATGTTACTACTGTAGCACTAATGCTATAAAGTAGTTGATACACTGTAAACAAACCTACAGTAAACAGGATATGCTGGGCTGTTTAACACTTCTCCCTCATATGCAGACCTGTCTTCATAGGTCTCAGGCCATGAGAAACAAAATCCTCTGGTCTGATGAAACAAAGACTGAACTATTTGGTTACAGTTCCCAACAATATGTGAGGAGAAAACCAGGCACCGAGCATCACAACATTAATACCATCCCTACAGTAAAACACGGCAGTGGCAGCATCATGCTGTGCAGATTGTTTTCTACAACGGGGACTAGGAGACTAGTTGGGATATAAGGAAGGATTAATGAAGAAAAATATAGAGCATTCTGAATGAAAACCTTCTCCAGAGTGCTCAAGATCTCAGGCTGTGGCGAAGGTTTACATTTCAACAAGATAATGACCCAAAGCATACCACCAAGAAAACACAGGAGTGGCTTCAAAAAAACTCTGTGAGAGTCCATGTACCAAGCTTGTAGCTTCACTCTCAAGAAGACTTGAGGCTGTCGCTACTGCCAAAGGTGCTTTAACCAAGTACTAAGTGAGAGGTCTTAATACTTATGTAAATAGGATATGCCAAGTCTTTTATTTTTAATACATTTTCAAAACACTCAAAAAACTGTTTTCACTTTATTCACTGTGAAATATTATGTGTAGATTGATGAGAAATCTGACTGTACATCCCTGGAGAATCCTTTAGAATCAGTGAAAAGACCTCCTGAAATTTTATAGGAAGAGTTTTTGGTTGTCATTGTTGTTAAGTCTGGTGTTTTCCATGTGTATTTTTGGGAACATTATTATGCATGCCAGCTTGTTTGTAAATGTAAATAGTAACAGGCACATATGCATGCATGCACACACACACTCTCTCTCTCTGTACCTTGTCAGCTGCAGCCAGCAGGTCATCAGCCATCTTGTCCAGGTTGGGAGCCTTGCCTGTGTAGATGAAGCACATCATCTCTTTGAAGACATCTGGCTCCACGTCATTTATCTCCACACGATTCTGAATGGGCGGAGAGGACAGAAGAGAAGAATACACACAGGATGTAACAAAATAAAAGACAAAAGAAACAAAGACAGATGCTTTGACAATCCTTCAAAACCACACACAGCAGCAGAGCCTTTTTTATTGCATGCGAATATTCTAAAACCTACCTGAATTAAACTCACTCACCTTGTATAGCACAGACACAGGGACGGTCAACCGTGCAGTGATACATAAGTTCCAGGTGCCAAACAAGGCAAACAAAAAACAAAAAAGAAAAACTTTCTGAACACGTTTCAGAAAAACAACATTGTAGTGCATTTATTTAATTCTTTTTGGCTGATTCCTGAAAATTAATCCTGTGAGCATTCATTCCTTGACAGTGCCTCCAGCCAGCAAAGTGGGCTTTATCGCTCTCTGGCACAGTGACGGTAACCTGAACCTTTCCCTCCGCACTGAGAGGCAGAACAAAGCAGTAAACCAATTATAAGAGTGCTTTATCGTCACCACAGTGACCGGCGGCATTTTAGCAGGGTCAGGCTGGGTGTACCAACAGCTTAGTGCATTTGTGTCAACTCCGACCACTCAACAGCAACATAAACACACTGGGAAATAATGGAGGGAAAAAGAAGTCGGTCTGAGCTCGTAGCCTGCTATAGTGGCCTTATACACAGATACTGATAACACACAAACACATGAAGGCATGCGTGAGCATAAGGCTTCTGTTTGCTCCATGATGGACAGAGAATCAGCCTGTACAGTACACAGCTCGGACTCTTGCTTAAAAAATAACATTCCTCATCCAGGCAGTTGCTTTCCTACTTGAACAGTTTGAGCACAGTTGCAGACTAAAGAGAGGGTTCACACACTGTACAGATGATAAAAACCTGATTCATTTTATGCTGCTGATTTTTTTTTTACATCAAAGTGTGTTGGAGTGTTAATGAAATAAAAAAAGGGAAAAATAGCACCGCATAACCACACTGGAAATCACATGAGAAAAACTAACAGGACTTCTTTTGGTTTTGCGAGGGCGAGCTTTCAACTGCGTCTCATAAACAGACACCACTCCTGTAGTTACAGTGTCTGAAACTCCCTGCTATTCACAGAGCAGTCTTCTATTACAGCGTTTCTTTATGAGCTCATTTGTCTCTCCTCTACAGAATGCTGCAGAGGAGTGTTAACCCATCTATCTGCTTTCTCTGAATCGTATGGGGACGTGGCCCACCATCTCTCCCTTTTTCTGATGAAGACGCCCACTTAAATAGCAATTAAGATGCATTTCCTGGCTCTGTGCTTTATAATTTCCCCGTTTGAGCCGTACAGGCATCAATATTCCGCTGACATGACGGCTAAATCACCGAGGTTTAATCTCACCAACTCCTATTAGGTGAACATAACTGTGGCATGAGGGCTCTCTGCATCCCACAAACATGCACACAAACATCACAGAGAATACTTAAAGAGCCCATGGCATCCTTTTCCTTATTTTCTGACTTATCTACAATGATATAATGGTGAATTATCATCTTAGACGTAACCTAAAGCTCAAAAAATGAGGTGTTTGTATGTTCTAGTACTTCTATAGAGAAGTAACTCAATTTATACATGTCTCCCAAACTCTCGCTCGTGAGACTTTTTTTCTAACAAAGTAAGGATTTCCTTGAATGGGCATATAATCCAGGCAGTTCTGTGCTCATGTGAGCTTGCCTTACATCCACTGGTGCCATTGTAAAGGCGGGCTTTTTGACAGCACTCGGTTTTGTGGATATATTTTACCTCCTGCTGCACCGTGACCAGAAGATGTGGAGAAAAATACAGGGTCTGAGGTTACTGTGTGTTCAGGAATGTTCCTGTACAGGGACTCATTGTTTTACCTGACCAGGTCTAATCTACTAGCAGCCAACCAGTGACGCCCCTGCAGCAGTGAATGATCAGCTCGTCAACTCAAATTAATTAATGCCGTTGCGGTTGGTTGTGCTGTCCACTTTCGACACAACACTGGCAGCAGGAGTTGTACGTGTTCACGAACTATCCTCTGGATTTTAAGGAGAGGCTCTCTGGTTTTATCGTTCTGAAATAATTACAGACTATTTGGAGTTATGAGGATTGCAAAGCTAATCTAGAGGTACCCAAGATTAAATGGCTGGAAATGAGCATACCATGGGCTCTTTAATGTAAAGCACTGAGGCGCACACAACATGCACCAGTGAAATACACAAATATACTGTACAGTCAGCTGCAAAGCTCGTCTTTAATGGAACAAAATATCAGCTGCACTCAGAGCAACTAAACTGAACTTAAGAAGGTTATTGATGCAGGTTTTAAAGAGATTAAATCTATTTTAATACTATATACCACAGTACATTAAGGTTAAGAAATCTAACATCCCGAAAACACCATATATAGTAAACTGTATAAATAAACAGAGTTTATTTATACAGTTTACTATATATGGTGTCTAATAAAGGTCTAATAAAGGTGTTTTGCCTCACATTCGCCTTGAACACACAATAAAACAACTTCTTTATAGCAATAAAGTGAGCTGTGTTAAGTAAGGCAGGTACAATGGATGAAATATTTTGCATATTGTTCTACCTAGCTCTTTATTATATTGCACATAAAACCAGCTACGACAAAGGGAAAATATCTTGTGGTTGTTTTAAATAAAATTCAAGTTTGTACATTTAAATTCTTAAATGTTTTGGTTTCTTCAGATATTTCAGATATATCAGGCCCCTATGTGTCACTAGCCAGACAGTCAGTATCAATGTATCACAGATATGTACTGGCATATTCAGTATTTCGGCCATGGCAAGGCTGGTTTATTTATATAAGCATAATTTCATACACAAAGGGAATTCAAAGTACTTAACACAATGCATACAAATAGATCAAACATTATAATGTGTATATAGATAAAACAGAATGCAAATTAGACTAAAACATTAAATGCAAATGAATAGTAACAATTACATGACAGCACAAAGTAGCCACATGCAAGTGTAGATACCTAGTAGTTTTAGGATAGCTGGTCATTAAGTAAAGCCAATTCACATCAGAAACCTTGTGAAGCAAAAATTCCTAGCACAACTTCAACTGGTGCTAAGGTGCATAGTTGATGAGAAATAAACTGTGCCAGGGTCAGAAGAAGGTCAAAAGAGGTTAGTCTTGGAATAAACTTGTTCTCTTCACCCAAACGTGTTGCTGGGGTTTTGACCTTTTCGCCTCAAAACTGGGACAGTTGGAATTTATCAGTGTGTTTTTGCAAAACAGTATTTCATTTTGTATTGTTGTTTTTGGTGATGTAGTGACTATTTGCAGTGCTGGTTGGAAAACTACTGTAACTGGTGAGTCAAATGCTAACCAACATGCTAGCACTAGTCAGTAACAAAAGATCTCCAGGCTCTCTATTTTCTGTCTTATGAGCTGGGTTGTTAATTTTCTCAGTGGCATTTATTCTCAGAATTGTATATCATTTCACTTAACAAAAGGTTATTACAGGTGTAAAAGTAAGCTAATGAGTTTGCTACTGTAACTGTCAGCCAGTTCACATAGTTCATTCAAAAGCTGTATCAGCTCTTGCTTCATGACTTTCTGCAAAGCATTTCTCTTGTTGTGGAGCAGTTTATATGCTGACAGCTACAAAGCTTGCTGCATTTTGGACTTTCTCCCTCCCATCCCTCAATATGGCTTTATAATCAGTCAAAAGCACAAAGTGACATCCACTGATAACCCTGATTCCATTTGAATGAACCAAATTTGCCCCCAAATTTCACAGTTTTAAATGCTGGTGTGACCTGGCTATAGTAAGAAATGCCGTAGAGAAATGCTAAAGATGTGTTACAGTTTGTCCACAGAGAACACTGACCAGTTCAATTGAACTCTTAAATAATTAAAGTAATGCCTTTAAAATGTGTGTTGCTTATGATCAAAAATAAATATTGCTAGATATAAAATTTGAATGTTTTAATTGTTTTTTAAATGGTTAAGTAAAGAGCCTCAAATGTCCAGTATTGGGCATCTCAACTTAAACTATTTCAGACTTTGGCATGACCTTGGGACAGCCCCAAAACAGACCCCATGGTAGAAAGCAGTGTACTCCAAATCCCCCTTCTCATCACAATTTAATCCTGTAAAACCGTTGATTGAGCGAAAAGCAACACAGACTGGACTAATTTTCTGTGATACTGTCTTATTTTGTCACCAAACACCACCTTATAGCTACAGAATAAGTCCCAATAATCACATAAAAATGCTACACATAGTGGCTTCAAGGACACCAGGTAATAGAGTTGCAGTCAACAAGATATGAAGGCACATGTGCAGACACACTTTTAAGAGGTGAGCACTTCCTGACGCAACAGAGAGAAAGATTAGAATTTTGACACACCAACTCACCACTGCGGGAGCAGGAACAGCAGAGTCAAGTGCTCAACTCACCTTCTTACTCTCCTCCATCTCATGCTCAAACATGGCACTGAACACTGGTGAACGGGCTGAGACAGAGAGAGAAAAGACAGAAAAATAGAGAGAGAGTTTGTTATTGTGTGTAATGTTGATACACGCTGAGGTCTCTGATATCCGTTAACAGCCTGCCACAGGGCCAGAACAGAATGAGGGGGGTGATTGACAGCAGCGACAGCAATAGAAGCATCATGTGGAAAAAGTCGACTGTAGCTCCTTCACGCTGACAGGCTCATGACAACCCCTCAGGTGTGTTTAGCTAGTATTTAATACTGATAGACTGACTTGACTGGAACCTATTTGAGACATTATGCTTTAAATGAGGTCTGCCTTCCTGTTTTGATAACATGGTCACCTGCTGCCACTCAAGGCAGGTTATACTAACATGCTAGCACTGTGGACCGGTAAGGCGTATTTTCTTTAAAATAAGGAGCAGATATGTTTAAAGTTGTTTTTCCTTGAGCATTTATGTGCCTACAAATCCAACAATGGTTTTGTCTGTTGTCACCAGTATACAAAACCTGCTGAGGCAAGGACAGTTCAGGCCATTTCCATTTACACAAATGAAAAGTGAAGACAAAATGCAAAAGAGTTGCCCTCAAAGTAAAAGAAAACAGAGTTTTTGCAATGCAAATGGTATTTTTATAATCCAAATTACACCCGGATTTAATATTAGTTATTTTGTAAAGCCGATTTTACACATTTTTAAATATTCAGGGCAAACACAGATAAACTCAAACACAGTGACAGTGGTCTGGAACACTGATATAACAGTGACAGATGAATGCTTTTAGTATCTGTGTTTTGACTAATAAACAGGTGGGGTAACCAAAAACACAGTGTGTCATAGAGTAGCTGAAGAGGTCATGTGGGCTCTCCAGCACAGACCAGCCATGCATACGCTCTGATCCAGCTAGAGCATGGATTGGGCCGCATATTTCTGTCCGAACCTGACAAGATTATAGTATATAGTGTCTGAACCCAACCCGTGCCTGTCACAATTGAGTTTCTATGGTAGTTTTCCCCTTATCATTAAACAAAGCAGACATTTAGGTGCTCCAGCTGTCTAGGTTAAACCTCACACACTCATTTACCAGTCAGTTTTTGAACAGCAGGAAATGATTGTGTATCTACTAAGGGAACCACTTGGCTTTTTACCTAGAATCACATACCAAGCAGTGTCGTCTTCTTATGATATGGTTCACTTTGCTTGATGATGTTTTCAATAGGTAACACCTTCACATTACAGTTAACTAATGAATGTTTAATTAGCTAATGATTAAAATGTAACAAAAGTTTTAACACATTAAGTATGCATCAAGGCCAGTGATATACTGATGAAATTAAGTACTTAATGAGTTATTAACCATTGAGCTAGCTACTCGCTTAATTATTATTTAGAAACATGGTGTCATCCATCAACTCTGCACAAGTATCACACCATATGACAACAACAGTAAAATGTGGCCATGAGCCACTAAGTGAATGATTAAATTAACAATGGAACATGGTAGTTATAATGTCACCCCATGCTGCTGCAGCAGTGACTAAACATCAGCTGAATCAGTAACACACTAATGTCTGGTCCCATATCATTCAGTGTGTTTCAGGTGTGCTATGACTCAGGGTCAGGGTAAAGTCCATCGTCAGGCCAGAAACAAAATGAGTTGAACCTCTGGACATCCAAAAGAGCTCTATGAAAACCTATGAAATGAATAAATAATAAGTATATGAAAAGCAAAAACATTAGATGTAAACATTCCATTAATGCTTTCAGGTAAATCAATTACGATGTCCAGATATTTTAAAGAAAAGGTCCTAATTAATTTTATGTTATAATTGTATGACCAATTATATATGTAACAGTCAGTGCCATTTGGATAAGCTAGTATTTTACCATGTAGCAGTGAGAGGATTAAAGTTGTACAAATCAAAAAATGAATGGACTGTGAACTAACTGTTCAGCTGTCAGGCTTGTTCAAGGGATCAGTGAAACAGACATTAAAATTGCTTTTAGACATTTCTCTTCTGGTCGCTCTCTTAACAGGTTTTGTTTAAACAGGTGACAAGGGAACCTGGCCAGACAACTTTGGACAGATAATTTGATAAATAAAAAAAAAACACAGAATTTTTGACATTTTTGCAGATTTATTAAAAAAGAAAAACTGAAATATCACATGGTCATAAGTATTCAGACCCTTTGCTCAGTATTTAGTAGAAGCACCCTTTTGAGCTAATACAGCCATGAGTCTTTTTGGGAATGATGCAACAAGTTTTTCACACCTGCATTTGGGGATCCTCTGCCATTCCTCCTTGCAGATCCTCTCCAGTTCTGTCAGGTTGGATGGTAAACGTTGGTGGACAGCCATTTTCAGGTCTCTCCAGAGATGCTCAATTGGGTTTAAGTCAGGGCTCTGGCTGGGCCATTCAAGAACAGTCATGGAGTTGTTGTGAAGCCACTCCTTCGTTATTTTAGCTGTGTGCTTAGGGTCATTGTCTTGTTGGAAGGTGAACCTTTGGCCCAGTCTGAGGTCCTGAGCACTCTGGAGAAGGTTTTCGTCCAGGATATCCCTGTACTTGGCCGCATTCATCCTTCCCTCGATTGCAACCAGTCGTCCTGTCCCTGCAGCTGAAAAACACCCCCATAGCATGATGCTGCCACCACCATGCTTCACTGTTGGGACTGTATTGGACAGGTGATGAGCAGTGCCTGGTTTTCTCCACACATACCGCTTAGAATTAAGGCCAAAAAGTTCTATCTTGGTCTCATCAGACCAGAGAATCTTATTTCTCACCATCTTGGAGTCCTTCAGGTGTTTTTTAGCAAACTCCATGTGGGCTTTCATGTGTCTTGCACTGAGGAGAGGCTTCCGTCGGGCCACTCTGCCATAAAGCCCCGACTGGTAGAGGGTTGCAGTGATGGTTGACTTTCTACAACTTTCTCCCATCTCCCGACTGCATCTCTGGAGCTCAGCCACAGTCATCTTTGGGTTCTTCTGTACCTCTCTCACCAAGGCTCTTCTCCTCCGATAGCTCAGTTTGGCCGGACGGCCAGCTCTAGGAAGGGTTCTGGTCGTCCCAAACGTCTTCCATTTATGGATTATGGAGGCCACTGTGCTCTTTGGAACCTTAAGTGCAGCAGAAATTTTTTTGTAACCTTTGCCAGATCTGTGCCTTGCCACAATTCTGTCTCTGAGCTCTTCAGGCAGTTCCTTTGACCTCATGATTCTCATTTGCTCTGACATGCACTGTGAGCTGTAGGGTCTTATGTAGACAGGTGTGTGGCTTTCCTAATCACGTCCAATCAGTATAATCAAACACAGTTGGACTCAAATGAAGGTGTAGAACCATCTCAGGGATGATCAGAAAAAATGGGCAGCACCTAAGTTAAATATATGAGTGTCACAGCAAAGGGTCTGAATACTTATGACCATGTGATATTTCAGTTTTTCTTTTTTAATAAATCTGCAAAAATGTCAAAAATTCTGTGTTTTTCTGTCAATATGGGGTGCTGTGTGTACATTAATGAGGAAAAAAATGAACTTAAATGATTTTAGCATATGGCTGCAATATAACAAAGAGTGAAAAATTTAAGGGGGTCTGAATACTTTCCGTACCCACTGTAAATAAAAAATGTCAGCAATGGCTATGAGAAAATATTAATCTATGTGATATATAATACCCGAGATCATAAAAGGAGTTTGTCTTCACAGATTCTCAGTTGACAAGGTTTCAAGACATTCAAGACATTTAGAAGTACGAAGCCAAAGACAACTGTATTTTCATTTCAGTTACGAACAATTAAACAGCATGCCAAAGCATTTGGAGAGCAGAGTAACCATCAGTGACTGTTAGGGTTCAATCAATATCAGAAAGTCGGCAAATTTAGAATACAGTGTATCTACTTTGAGAATGAAGAGAGTTCTTCATTCTTAAAGAAGATACACTGTATTCTAAATTTTGGCAAAGAAACCAACCTTAGTACGAAGTGCCTGGGTAAGACTATGGGAACAAACCTATAGTAAAGCTTCCTGGTGCAGCTCAATACTGGTGAGCTCATACTGCAGCACCAAAGGGAAGGGGCGGGCGAGAGAGAGAGACAGGGAGTGTGTTACAAGGAGTGAAAGGAGACAGAGGAGAGAGAAAGTTGGTAAAGACTGACAGAAAGGCAAGTAACAGGGATGTGCGGAGAAGGCAAGAGTGAAAAGGGAAGGAAAACTGAGGGGGGCAAAAATGAAAAAGGGGAACATGAAAGTGAGAGGGAAAGGAGGGATCCTGAAAAAAGGTAAGGGAGATGCAGTAGAGGAAATAAAGGCAAGGTAAGAAACTGAAGGCGAGAGAGACTGAGCAGTGTAAAGATCACATGGCCAGTATGGAGCCAATTTGAGTTGCTCTCCCTTCGTCGTTTGATCCCTCTCTGTCCGCCTCCACGGCGATTAACGGCCGGGAGAGTTGTCACAGGAACGGCTGAGAGGGGGAATAACGAGGAGGAAGGACGTCATCTGGACCAAGCAGAGCAGAGAGAGGAAGAGAGGGAGAGAGAGAGAAAGGGAAAGACCCCAAACCACAGCAGCACATAATTAAAATGGCTCCTCACACACACATTTCAACAAATCCAATAATGAACAGCCTCTCCACGCCTCCACAGAGACACACAGTTCACCAGTTTCCTCAAACTTCTCACTGTCTGATTTCGCCTGTCATCAAATATCTGCAACAATTAGCTCAAAATACATCATGTTTGTTTGTGTGTACGTAACCATGTTTGACTGATATGGACTCCTGATGGCCAACGACAGCACAAAACTGCTGAGGGTGTCAATAGCGGATACTGTGCACAGATATTCAATGTATTCAAATGTAACCATCCCTGTGGCAAGCAAAATTATTCATTAAAATGAAAAATTTGATGAAGTATTTCCCCCGAAATTTAATCCTTGTCTCAGAGGAAAAGTGTTTGAAACAGCATTTAGACCAAAAAAACTCTGAAATGATGATGATAACAAACTCCGTGTGCACCAAGACAACAATAGAAGCTTCCTGTGCAAGTTACTTGCTCTTTTCTTTTAACACATAAGAGGCAGACTTAGAAAAACAAGATGTTAAAAGAGATTACTGCTGTGTCCTGCAATGGCCTGGTCAAGAATCATTATCGCTCAATTACTTGAATCTTTAGTGCTTTCACTTAAAGCAGGTATATCACTCAACTTGATTAAAAGTATTTTCAGAAACATCACAAAAGGGGAAGCCCATTGCCAAACACTAAGAGTCTTTTGAGAGAAATGAAAGGATATTCTCACCTGCCAAGATGGCTTTGTGCGCCTGGAATTTCTGCCCAGCAACACAAAGGGAGCAGTCAGTGAATCTTGAGCTTTCCCATAGATCTCCGAGCTCCTCAGCTAACCTGCAATCTGGAACCTTGACCATGTTCATAGTGCTTTGGCCTGAGATGTTCACAGAGTCCTGCACCACACTCACCTGGAAACACACACATATACAGAGCAAGAGTGCAATGAAGGAGTTCATTTGAATTATTATCTGGTTTGCACTTGTACTTTTGTCTTTTTTTAAGAGGGAAGGGACATACACAGAGCTATGATTTTAGGGTGAACTGCTCCTTTAACACAGTCACCGGTTCATACAGAGGCTAACAGATAGCATGCAATGTTCATAAAAAGATAATAAATCAGTCAATCAAACATACAGTGAATGATTAATGTGAGCTTTCTGCCTCTGCAATCAATACATCTACCACTCAATATAGGGCCTATTTAAAGACAACCTTCTCTTCCCTCTTAATCCAAAAAGATTGTTACACTCAAACAAGGCAGAAAATCAGCATTGGAGTCAAATTAGGTAGGTGTGTGTGTGTGTGTGTGTGTTTGAGACTTGTCTGTATGTCTTCCCTGCTGACTTCACCACCTGTTCCAGACAATGTCAACCAGATTCATTTATCTCTCAACAGGACTCAGTGCAAACACACACACACACACAAAGAGCATGTTTATGAGCACAAACATTCACCCACACCCAACACACTAATTACTATCCAAGTTCCAGCAGTCTGGACTTACTGACTTGCAGTTTTTTTACCTGCATGCTGTGCCATTTAACCAAACAATAACAGTTAGTTTGCTACAACCTGATTTAGATAGTTAATTGTAATTCCTAATAAAGGTCACATAAAGAAAAGTACTACACTAATTTTAGCGGGTTCTTTTTTTTTTACAGTGTTCTATAATGGTTTGTGTCATTAGAATATCAAAGTGCATAGGGTTTGTACTGAGCTATAAAGGCTTTATTTAGAGACAAGAGGAGGCAAATACAAGAGAACAATGCAGTGAGAAATATACAGTCACGAAGCTTAAAATTCTGTTTTCCAGGCACATCAGAAAACCAACCACGTTGCACTGTAAAATGAAAAAAAAAGCACAAGCATAGAATGTAAAAATAATTTTAAAAAAAACTTCGACAATTTTTGTTCTAAACACCTTCAGCTTTCGTTTGTCAAGGAGAGCGCTGAAATCCCCCACAACATCCCTGCAAAGTGACCTTGCTGTTAAAGGTTCAGCCAGGGAGGCCGACACCCAACACAGCCAAGTTCCCTCCTCATCCATCCCATCCATCCATCCGCCCGTCTATTCCTCCTACGCCACATCCATATACCTATTCAACTTGCAACAAAAGAGTCACAGAAAAGGAGGAAAATCACATACAATAGAGAAGTGCATGGCAAGCAGGAAATTGAATGTCAAGGAGGCCTGTTTGCTCCTGATGGAGGTTTGAGGGTTAGTCTAAAGGGGACAGAAAGACAGGGAGTAAGAGAGACAGAAGGAAAGATAATAAAACAGAAGAGACTGAGGAAAAAGGAGGAGAGAGAAGGGAGGATGTAGTGACAATGAAAGGCAGACAAAATGAAGATGCAGAAATATCAAACGATGGACAGACGGAGAACACAGAGGCCATCACACAAAAAGGTGTGTGTGTATGGGGGGGTTAGGAGCAAGCCATTGGTGGAATCTACCAATGCAGATGGCCTCTTATAAGCAGCAGCTGATTTATGGCACAGCAATAACAGAGACACTGTGCGAAGAAAATGTGACTTTCTGAAGGTAGGAGCATTCAAAGTATTCCTCTGTGTGTGTGTGTGTGTGTGTGTGTGTGTGTGTTTGGCTTTTACAGCTGGCTCTATTAATCACACTCCAGCGGGAAGCAGGTCTGACTGACTGATGTCCATCCATCGCCACACACTCACAAAGGAATGCTCACACACATTCAAATAAGGCACAAACACATGAAAGAGACAGTCCCATGCACAGGCACCGGTATTCATAAAATACTTTCGAAACACTACAGAGAGCCGGGAAGAAAGAGTGGTGCCGTGTAAGAGGAAGGAGAGCGAGAAAAGAAATCAAGAGAGAGAGAAACAAGGGAGAGAGACAGATGGACAAAGAGACAGAGGACAGAAGTTCAGTGAGCTCAAGTTGGAATGAAAAATGACTTTAGGAGGAGGAGGACGATGGCAAGTCCAGCGCTGTCCTGAGCACACACTGACAAAATAAACAAGTGCTGAAAAAGGAATTGGAAGGGAAGCTGGTGAGCCTGGTCAATGTGTTTCGGTATAAATAGCCCAATTATCATGGAGGCGCTGGTGCTGGGCTCTCAGACGCAGCGTGGCAGAGCCAGTCTAATTACTGGCTAACTTGACCAATTATTCCAGTATTTAACCAGGCAGACACTAAATCGCGGCACCTGGTTATTTAGGCACACTGGCTGCCTGGACAATCTTCACACCACTAGCTGTCATTTTCAGTCACTGTCAACCTGCTCGACTTTCTCTTCGCATCTTCCTCCATATAATCCTTCTCAAACCTGTGGGACTGGAAAATATACCCCAGGTTTATGTTTATTTCATCTATGCGGTTAAATTAATAGCTTATGTAAGTATTTATTTATTTTTTAAATATTGAGGGTTGGTTGTTATGTTATGAGGTTTACGGTCATCTCCTAATCTTAAGAGTAACTTCAAACCAAGCTGAAGAAGAGTGTTTGGCTGCTCTCTCGTTTCAAGCCTGCTTAACCTCTGCTGGGTGTGGTCACAGAAGTGTTTTGTTGTACCTGTATCAACAGGTGCCGACACCTGGACACCTAGTGCAAATGTTCAAAAGAAGGGGGTTCATCCCCTTGGTAATAATTTTATGGACCATCTGGTCATTAGAGGTTGGTAACTCCTGAATACCAATGGAAATTTTGGCTTGATAGTGGTGTAAAAAGAAATGTAAACAAGATCAGAAATATTAGGGACTGTCCTATGAGGACAATTTTCCACAGTGGATTTCATGTAAATTATTTTATTACTTAATACTTCCACCTGGTTTGGTCAAAGGCAACTTGTGAGCTGATAGTGGCAAAGTCATTAAGAATCGTCCTTTGGGGTGGAAATATCCTTGATAAATTTCTTGACCACACAGCTGCGAGGGTGAAGATATGTAGCTCTCACAAACCAACAAAGTGACTGACTGATCTTTATTTATTTATTCCCCAGCGGTGTTGCTGATGATAATAATGATAACGACAACTGAAACATATTCCGTATACAACCCCAGGTAAAGAATAACAGAAATGAAGAATCACTACTGCTGTATCACCCAAATCATTATTTGTTTTGGTAATTAAGTTCCCAAGATAAGTACTTACTACAGTGTTCGCCTCCCAGTTAGTTCCTCAGACATTAAGATGGATCTGTCGTAAGCTCCGTCACAACCCTCCAGGCAATGCAGAGTTAATATTGAGTTTCAGTACGCAGATGATTTATTCATAATGCATCAATCTTTTTCTGCCTGTTTATGTGTTTGTTTATGGCTTTACATTGCTTTGCCATGCGTGAAATAGTTTGAAAAAGAATTAAAAACAATATCAAAAACAAATGAAATTTATTAAGTTGTGGAGCACTTGTTCGTTTACCTCCCACATCTCATTTTTCTCTGTTCAGCCCTTTACATTCTCAAACACATACACACGAGCAGAGATCGGGGACACATGCACATTCACCTCATCAAACAAAACACAGACACACATATGACACCACTTGCTGCAGCTGTGTGATTTCAAAAGGAAGACTACCGTAACTCTGTTTCTTTTTCAAAGTGATTTCCAGTTAAATTTGCAAGGCATCATTTGAATGAACATGACTTGAATTTGCACATTACATAGTTTTACTGACTTGATTACTCCCTTGTAATCTGAAGGGTATCACTGCTAACATCATGGGTAACCACATGGAAATCCTGATGAGTATATACAGTATCTCTACTAGTTCTATGCAGCTGTCAAGATTTTGTATGTCAGTCCCACATGTAGCTTTGCCATACACTTTCATTGCTGTCAACACAGGGTGAAGCAAATTTGAAGCATAGCATTCTAACTCAAAATTATTTCATAGGGATTGCATTCCTATTTTCATACACTCTTTTTGAAAACTGATATTTATTACTGAGTTAATAATATATAGTCTGATGGGCAAAAATGACACTTTTATCCATTTATAATTAAGCCTACAACACAATAGTATGCAAAAGTGAAGAGGTCTAAAAACCTGCAGCCACTTTATCTGTTAGTCATGACAAATGTGGAAATGAGCACCTGTTTGATTGTAGGAATAATCACGTTTTCCATCTCTACTAACCGACAGTCAAGCGGTGACTCGTGATCTTACCAGTATCTATGTGGATATTTTACTTAATAGTCTTTCATTCATACACATGTGCATGTGTGCACGCACATACACGTGTATAACATCCAGTATGGTGTGTTTGTATTTAAATGGTATTTTTTAATCTATCAATGGTGACACACTGCTGGCAGAAATTGGCAAAGAAGGCTACGTTAGCAGCATGCCTAAGCAAAGCACAACAGAAACTAGCCGGCTGGAAACGTGAAAGAAGCCACTTGTGCTGACTCATCACAACGTGGCCATATCGTACACGCCAATGTGACACTTTGCCTGCAACCACTCAGCCCCCCCATCAATGCAGCCCCTTGCATTGGGGTTAGTCTGAACACCTGTTAACCCTAACCTAAGCTTAAACCAAGTCGTCACCCTAAAATTCAACAATTTACAATTCCTTGTGGGATCAGCATCTGGTTCCCATGAAAAAAGCCAGGTCCCTACACTTTGAGTGCCCACAGTGTGAGAAATGCCAGACAATCGCACACACACAAACACAGGTATACATATTGTTGTTACTCAGTCTTTTTCAGCTATATAAAACTAACACTGATGCACTAATGTTTGCTGGGAAGATTTTACAGGTCAGGTCACAGCAGTCCTTATCTGAAGTACAGTATATATTAAATGGCACTGAAAAGACAACCTGATTAACCCCAGTCAGATTCTAAACCGCAAGTCTACAGTGCACCTGCAGCAGCCTACTGTCACTATTTATTCATTTTTTAAATCCACTCTCACCTGATGTTAT